CATCCCCTAGCGGCAGCTCGCACACCCCTGGGGGTGCGCGCACCACACTTTGGGAATCCCTGCACTAAAGTTTGTCTCATGGAACGTACATGGAGCTGGCTCCAGAGAGAAGAGATTAAAAATTTTTGATCTGTTAAAAAGAGTGCAAGCAGACATAATATTATTACAAGAGACCCATAGATCTGCCACATCTGCAGATGAAAACACCTGAGTTTCCTAGCATGTTCTCTGCATGCTACAACTCTAGGCAAAGAGGTGTAGCTATTTTAATACACAAAAACATCAATTTCACAGTATTGGACACAGTCTCTGATCCAGAGGGCAGATTTATAATGTTAAAAATATCTGTACAGAACCAAAGCTTATTTATCGTCAGCATATACTGTCCAAATATTGATGACACTCCATTCTTTCATAATTTTTTCTCTGTACTCTCCGAACACTTGGACTGTCCACTTATACTTGGAGATGATTTTAATTTTTGGATGAACTCTTTAACAGACAGGCTCAGTACAGCTGGGACTCAGCGCAATTGGCAATCCACTAATATAGTTAAACAGTACATGAGTGATTATGGGCTTTGTGATGCATGGCGATCTCTTCATCCTAACCGTAGAGAGTATACTTTTTTCTCACACGTCCATCACTCTCATTCATGTTTGGATTATTTTCTAGTCAGCAGCTCATTGTTGGCTGATATTTCAGACGCTGAGATACACCCCATAGCTGTCAGCGACCATGCTCTGGTTTCTTTAACTCTGTTAAGCAAGAAGATAATCCCACCAAACAAAAACTGGAGGTTTAATACATCACTGCTTAAAGACGAAGGTTTTATTGAATTTTTTAAAAAGGCATGGGCTTTATATTTAGAACATAATGACCTGCCTGGAACATCAGCATCTAGTCTCTGGGAGGCAGGAAAGACAGTGATGAGAGGTAAAATAATCTCTTTCTCATCACATAAGAAAAAAACAGAAAACAAATGTATTCAGGAGTTAGAAGAAATCATTAAGTCTTTAGAGGCATCCACAGAAGAAGAGTTACTGAGCAAATTACGTAAAGCTTAATTAGAACTTCATGGAATTATTGACAAAAAGACACAATTTTTAGCACAAAGACTACGAATAGAAAACTTTGAACATAGCAATAAATCAGGTAAATTTTTAGCTAGCCAGTTAAAAATTAATAAAGAGAAAACTACCATATCTGCTGTTAAAGACTCAACCGGGAATATAGTTTATGACCCTGAAAGAATAAACAACACTTTCAGAGACGTTTACCAAACGTTGTACTCACCACAGATAAACCCATCAGATAACGAGATCAATGAGTTCCTTGACAAGATAACACTTCCTAAATTATCAGACAGCCAAGCTACAGTCCTGGACTCGCCACTAACATCAGCTGAGCTCCAGGAAACCCTTAAATCAATGCCTAATAGGAAAGCTCCAGGTCCAGACGGGTTTCCAGCAGAGTTCTACAAAGAATTCTGGATCATTCCGGCTCCAACATTTTTCAGAATGGTGAGGGAAATCGAAGAGAGTGGCATATTACAGCCAAACATGAATTCAGCCAATATTAGTCTCTTGTTAAAACCAGGCAAAGACCATGCATTTCCTACCAGCTATCGCCCAATTTCCCTTATTAATGTTGATCTCAAAATAATTTGTAAAGCCCTGAAAAAAAGATTAGAAAAGGTAACCCCCTTCATAATACACCCTGACCAAACTGGTTTCATCAAGGGTAGACAGTCATCCACTAACTCACGTAGATTACTTAATTTGATAGATTTCTCTTACAGTAGAAACATAGAAACTAGTATATTATCTCTAGATGCAGAAAAGGTTTTTGACAGAGTTAACTGGAAGTTCTTCTTTGCAACTTTACATAAATTTGGTTTTGGGAACTTCTTCATAAACTGGCTGCAAACATTATACAGTTCACCAACGGCACGTGTCAGGACAAATTACCAAATATCAGCTAGCTTCTGTCTTCAGAGAGGGACCAGGCAGGGATGCCCACTCTCCCCCTCACTGTTTGCTATCTTTATTGAACCACTAGCAGCAGCAATTAGGCAAAAAACAGATATTAAAGGGATAGAGTGTAAGAAATTAGAACATAAGATTTGTCTTTATGCAGATGATGTTTTACTCTTTCTCCAGAATTCTCAATCCTCACTCTCCCATTCAATAGAACTGATAAACTCTTTTTCAAGAGTTTCAGATTACTCTATAAACTGGTTAAAATCCACAGTTCTACCAATTAATTTCTCTTTTGTCAATTTGCTTAATACACTATTGGAGTTAGGGAATATCCCATACCTGGGAATTACTGTATCTCCCAAGTTGGCAGATCTAACCAAACTGAACTACATCCCACTTTTAAAGAAAGTGGAAGATGATCTTGCAAGATGGAAATCCTTTCCGATATCACTCATGGGGAGGGTTGCAACAATTAAAATGATGATCTTACCCAGAATAAATTACTTATTTTCAATTATCCCAAACAAACCACCAGCTGACTGGTTTAGATCTCTGGACTCCTCAATTACTAAATTCCTTTGGCAGGATAAACCTCCACGAATTAGCTTAAAAACGCTTCAGAAGACCAAAGACTGGATTTACCCAACTTTTATTATTATTTCTTAGCCAACAGGCTGCAATATATACCAAGATGGTTGCAAGATAACCCACTAGATGAGTCTTGGTTAGATATTGAACAGACACTTTGCAATACGATAGAGCTTTCAGACTTACCATTTATTAGCTCAAGCATAAGAAAACATGAAAGCTTCAAAAGTATTAGTATCAGCACCTCTCTGACAGCATGGTGGGAGTATCTAAAAATGACAGCGTCTTCACTAGTACCATGCAGACGCACACCTATCTGGAATAATCCTGATATTTTGCTAAATAACCAAATGATGAACCTTTCGGACTGGAAAAATAAAGGGATCCTATACCTGGAACACATATTTGAAGGATTGGACTTCATCCCATTTAATCGAATAGTCTCCCAATTTGGAATAGATAAGAATAGCTTTTTAGAATATCACCAAATTAAATCTGTAGTCAAACAAAAATTTAAGCTCAATAAAATAAAATTACAAACACCACCAATGGTATTTGACTTCTATAATCTCAACCCTCCCCAAACTATTGTCTAAAGTATAAAAGACACTGTCCAAAATAGACGATAGAATAGCAATCCCTATTGAAAAATGGGAGGTGGATCTATCAGTCAGCTTTGACCAGAACTTCTGGTCCCAAACTTGTTTAAATACTTTTAAAATGATCAGACACCCCAATTTACAATTAATTCAGTGCAAAATTCTACACAGAGTACACTATACAGGTCATCGGATGTTCAAGATGGGGTTTGTGTCGTCTGACACCTGTACACACTGCACAAACAACATTCCTGAAAATTACATTCATGCACTGTGGTCCTGTCCACCTGTCCAGGAATTTTGGGGTAGAGTATGTGAAGATCTGTCAAAGTGTCTGAAATGTCATATCCCAACTTCCCCCTCTCTTTGTTTACTGGGAAACCTGGGTGATGTCCCGATTGAAACATCTTTGGTTCACCTGGTTCTGACTGCCATATGCATCGCTAAGAAAACTATCCTCATGAATTGGAAAAATAGAGAAACTCTCTGCATTAACCAGTATAGAAATCTTTTGTTAGATCATATTACACTTGATATAGCCTCTGCTTCCACTTCAAATCAGTCTCTCTGGGCTCCTTTGATCGGTTCCATCACATAGCGATGATGGGGGACCATTGAAATTGTCCTGTGGGATGATGTGGGTGAGGGGGTGGGGGTCTGAGTTTGGAGTATCCGGATGTTCCCTGGAGGTGGGTTCACTGGGGGTGATCTTGAAGCAGGCAGGCACATGAGATGTCTCCAGTGAGGTGTTGAAAATTAGCTAGGGCCAGCTCATCTGCACAGGGCTTATGAGTGGCAGGAGACATGTTGTGTGGGCCAGGGCCTTGAAGTTCATATTGGTGGTGGGGGGATGAATGACCATAATGCCGCTACTGTTGGGACAGGTGGAGGTGCTTGATGACTCATCAAAACAACAGAAGTTTTTGCCCATTCTGTGATTAAACTAAGTGTTGATCTGCTTCAACACCCAAGTCACAGAGGTAGTATATTAAGATTTAAAACTTAAAATATAAACAAAGCTCATTATTTTAATCTAATTAAAACTTCTCAAGCATTTTTTTTACTTATAGCTGTTAACTCTCGAAAGCAGAAGCCTAAAACTCAGACCATTGCTGTTATGTAATGAAGAACCTTGTCACCTTTTTACATGCCTTTACCTGCTTGTTGAAGTGAAATTAAACTGGATTTAAAACACTAACCACAAGAGATGAGGCACAACAAAAGATGAAACTGGTAAAATTAGAATATGGTGCAAAGTACGTTTTTGTCAGTAATTCATCGCTGACTGATGGACCATCTAAAGGATCCCTGTGCAGGTGTTTTGGATTCATTAGCTAGAATGTTGAACCAGTTCCCAATATTCTAATTGTTTGAGATTATAAAACATACTAAGTTGCATTAACAATTTTTATTTAATAACAGCAATTTCAGTGGTGGAAGACACATTTGATTTATTTTTTACTTAAGTAAAAGTATTAAAATATGCATAATCAAACTTTTTTAAAGGTTAAAAGGAAAAGTATTATATTAACTTTGTGTATAGAAGTGTGCTTTGGACCGGGGGAGTGGGCATAACGCAAACTAAAGTACCTTTACTTTAGAAAACTTTTAGAAAATATAGTTGAGTAGAAGTCACAGACAATTGCTTTGAAACTGTAGAAGAGTAAAAGTAAAAATAGGCCTCAAGAAAATAACTTAAGTAAAGTGATACACATTAATGTAGTTCTTGGACTTCATTACATCCCATCACATACACATGAATCTGACTAATCGAATCCGATAAATTAATCATTTAGTAAAGTTTAGTCCAGCAAAATAGTTGTCGGAACCTTTATTGGACGTCTATGTTTCGGTAGGGCGTTTCTCCATGCAACACAACACAGTGGGCTGTCGAATCATGTCTGGTTGAAACAACTCGGTAAGAATTGGTTGGTTATTGGTTAATTTTCGTTATTCTAGTATTTTCTAATAAAAATGTTGACGTTTAAAATATTTTGATCATGATTTATCTTTTAAATGTTTTAGCTCTGCTTCACAGAAACATTTTCCTTCTGAAATTAGCCAGCTTCGTTTGAGCTTTTAAACGAACGATAACTGACCCGTGGAGTAGTAGTAAGTAGTTAGCGGTCTTACAGCAATAACTAGTCTGCCCGTTGTTAAAAGTGAGATTATTTGAATGATAATTTTGTGACAATTATGGTTTGACAAGAAGTCTCATTCATTTGGTTTTTACGGTAAGACCATTTTGTGTCTTGTTGTTTACAGTGATGGCTTGTTGTCCTGGCCGTGGAACTGTGGACCAGCTCTATACCCTTGCAAGGGTGATGGAGGGGGCATGGGAGTTTGCCCAACCAATCCACATGTGTTTTGTGGATTTGGAGAAGGCTTATGACCGTGTCCCCAGAGGCACCCTGTGGGGGACGCTCCAGGAGTATGGGGTGGGTGGCTTTCTGTTAAGGGCCATTCAGTCCCTTTACCAGAGGAGCGTGAGTTTGGTCTGCATAGCCGGTAGTAAGTCGGACCTGTTCCCAGTGAGGGTTGGACTCCGCCAGGGCTGCCCTTTGTCACCGGTTCTGTTCATCACTTTTATGGACAGAATTTCTAGATGCAGCCGTGGTGTGGAGTGTGTCGAGTTTGGTGGCAGGAGAATCTCGTCTCTGCTTTTTGCGGATGATGTGGTCCTCCTAGCTTCATCCAGCTCTGACCTTCAGCTCTTGCTGGGTAGGTTCGCGGCCGAATGTGAAGCGGCTGGGATGAGGATCAGCACCTCCAAATCTGAGACCATGGTTCTCGACCGGAAAAGGGTGGCTTGCCACCTCCGGGTCGGGGGAGAGGTCCTACCTCAAGTGGAGGAGTTTAAGTATCTCGGGGTCTTGTTCACGAGTGAGGGTAGGAGGGATCGGGAGATCGACAGGCGGATTGGTTCGGCGTCTGCAGTGATGCGGACGCTGAGCCGATCTGTCGTGGGGAAGAGGGAGCTGAGCCAGAAAGCCAGGCTCTTGATTTACCGGTCGATCTACGTCCCAATCCTCACCTATGGTCATGAGCTTTGGGTAATGACCGAAAGAATGAGATCGCGGATACAAGCGGCCGAAATGAGTTTCCTCCGTAGGGTGGCCGGGCTCAGCCTTAGAGATAGGGTGAGGAGCTCGGACATTCGGGAGGGACTCGGAGTAGAACCGCTGCTCCTCCGGATCGAAAGGAGCCAGTTGAGGTGGTTTGGGCATCTGGTCAGGATGCCTCCTGGACGCCTCCCCGGGGAGGTGTTTCGGGCATGTCCTGCCGGCAGAAGGCCCCCGGGTCGACCCAGGACACGTTGGAGAGGTTACATCTCCAATCTGGTCCGGGAACGCCTTGGGGTCCTGCCGGAGGAGCTGGTGGACAAGGCCGGGGAGAGGACGGCCTGGAGCTCCCTAGTTGGGATGCTGCCCCCGCGACCCGGATAAGCGGAGGAAGACGAAGACGAAGGCTTGTTGCCCGTAACAAATGTCCTTTCTGTTGTGATCAAACCCCTGATCATCTTTCTGCCTCAGATCTGATCTGATGTCAGACAAGCGTCAGCGGGCAAGAGTGCAGGGCTCCTGGGCCAAACCACCAGCTAAAGGGCAAAGTGGTCCAATGGGTAATTTAACATAATTGATATGGTGACATGTAATTATTATTATGGGCACTTGTTAACTGTATCAGTGGCAGATGCTGATTTTTAGAAAGCCAACATAAAAGCTAATTTTGGGAAGAAGCATGCATTTATTTTATCCTAACTCTCTTTCATAAAAACAATTAAGCTTCTTCTTTCTCTGGTGTTACTTCCTTATTTATGCTTGATGTTTTTCTATTTGTTTCAGCGCAAATAATAATTACAAAATAAATAAAATGGTGCATTACATCACTGAGCACCATAAATCTTTAATAATGCACTTTGCAAATATTATTTTCTAGTATCTCATTAGGACCTTGTCTGTGTTTGAATATTAATTAGCTTATAAACTCAGACCAGATGGAAGATCCTCACTGATTTGAATTGCTGGTAAAATGGCAAATCAATAAGTGGATAAAAACTCAAAAAGCTAATTTGATTGAATCTTAAAAACATGGCTGCTATATCTTTTATGGACAGATATAATTTGATTTTTTATTTTTAACAGGATTTGTCCCAAGCAATGCAGCCAGTAGGTCCAACACAGCCTCAGGGTCTTGGGGGTTTGGCAACCAAAAAGCATCTGAAGCTTTTAAGTTTCACCAACCTACAAAGGTAAACTCAACATATTAACTGACATATATTGTGCATTTTACAAAAATGACCTAATAAATGTTAAAAATTCCAGTAAGTTTGTTTCTTGTGTTTTCTTTTATTGCAGCCAGTTAGAGATGTTCCAAAAGAAAAGGTCATAGAGTAAGTTATACGGTGATAACATGACAGGAAATAAATAAAATAGTTTGTTTCTGTGTTTTACTATATGACCTATTTCATATTGCAACACAAAAATAACAAAAATCCATCATTTTACTCTCTACAGGCAGGCAGGTGTTTATGAGATAAGCCACGGGCCGTCTGGAGTTTCTCGGTGAGTCCTGTTAATTTGTGATTCATGTCTATTGATTAGTGATGCATCAAAGAGCGACGGGTGACGGTGGCACAGGAGCTAAGTGCTCGCCCCGTAATCGGAAGGTTGCAGGTTCGAGCTCCGCTCAGTCTGTCGCTGTCATTGTGTCCTTGGGCAAGACACTTAACCCACATTGCCTGCTGGTGGTGGTCGGAGGGACCGGTGGCGCCAGTGCTCGGCAGCCTCGCCTCTGTCAGTGTGCCCCAGGGCAGCTGTGGCTACATCGTAGCTCATCACCATCAGTGTGTGAATGGGTGAATGACTGGTTGTGTTGTGAAGCGTCTTGAGGGGTTCCAGGACTCTAGAAGGCGCTATATCAAATACAGGCCATTTACCATTTACCAAAGAGTGAAATTTACAGTGATAATGTAAACAACTGAAGCAGTTTAGAATCAAACCATGTTTATACTGTAGTTAACCTCTGAATCCACTTGATGGCAGCGATCATACAGATAATATTTACACGGCTTCTACTCTCTTCAGGGTTCAAATAGACAATGGTGATTTTAATATTAGCCACATTTGCACAATGTGTGTGTTTATCAATATGATTTTTACTGGACATATACATTTTGCATTCTTCCATTTATTTTGCAAATACATATTTTTCTAATATCACGAACAAATCCTAAATCAATACAAACTGAAACACAAATCATTGCAATTTTCTTTTCTCGTGTCATCTAACTTGTACCTTCGTGATGTTAATCCTTAGAAGTGTGGTTCACTGAAAACAACATTTTTTAATGATTATTTTTCATTATAATCTGTCAGTCTGAGTTTTACTCATTCACTGTCACTGACGACTAAATTCGTCATTTTTATTTTTTTACTTTGTGGGCGTCGGACGAGCCCCCACACCATGAGAACAAACAGCTCTAAAGTCGATCTTCATCCACATACGTCACACGTCATGTGATCAGGAAGCAGAAAATCCATGTGATCGTTTTGGGCCACTGCTGTAAAAAAAAGTGAGGCACGAACCGAAAAGGCTTCTGCCGATCACAATTCAACAACGGATTATGAAAGAACGGATAAAGCTCGAAACGCGCAGATTCTTCCTGATGTAAGAGGTGAGCCTCCGCTTTGTTTTGGTTGTTTTGGCGTCGACATCATCCTAGCGCGCAACATTCTGTGACTCTTAAAAAAACCAGTAAAAATGGTGAGAAACGCCGGCAGCGAAGGGCTTTACCAATCAGGAAACGGCTGGCAGCGAATGAGTTAACATGCAAACTGATCATGAAAATAGTCTCCTACACCTATCTCCTGCATTAGCTTCTGATAGAACATAGACAGCAAAACTCTAGGAAGTCTGACAGGTCTGTGTCACACTATAGGATTTCTCCCAGTGTTTAATATGCATGGCAGGCCCCACCAGGCTAACGACCCCCCCCCCCTCACACACACACACACACACCCACCCACCCCCTCCTACGGATGACGCGCGCCATCTTCATGTCTGATCTGGAGGTGGTTCTGCCGGCACCAGTCCACGAAGTTCCGGGTCAGTACTCGGTTCTCCTTGTCGTCCCCATCAGTGATGATGTCAACTATTGCAGAGTCATCAGAGAACTTCTGCAGGAAGCATTTGGTGGAGTTGTAGGAGAAGGCTGCAGTGTAGATGCTGAAGAGGTATAGTGCCAGAACTGTTCTCTGTGGAGCCCCATGCTGCACACAACCCTGTTTGACACACAGCCTTGGGTTCTCACATACTGTGGTCAGTTAATGAGGTAGTCCAGGATCTATGTGATGAGGTGATGGTCCACTGCTGTGTACACCAGCTTGTCCCTCAGGATTGTGGGTTAGATGGTGTTGAAGGCACTGGAGAAATCAAAGAGCATGATTCTCAAAGTGCTCCCTGCAGTCTCCAGGTGAGGGATGGAACGATGTAGGATGAGAATGATGGCATCCTCCACTTCAATGCCCTGCTGGTAGGCAAGCTGTGGAGGAAAATGGTATTGACAAAAAATGGAAATCATCATGAAATTCTATTTTTACTTGCTTTACATCCATAACTCAGTTTAGACTCATTCCTTTAATTGTAGTTCAGCCAATGGGAGCAATTTCACATAAAGCCACAAACTGCTGCCTGAATACTTTTGTCCCTCTAAATATTCTCTGTCTAAGTCAATCTGCCTTCAGTCATTTCAGGAACCTTTTGACCTTCTGGTACTCATAAGTCAAAGTAAAAAACTAATCAAAGCAATTTTTTTTTGTTTCATTTACATTTTCACTTTCTGATTTAGACTCAACTCTAAAATATAGCAAGTCACCCCCAAATCAACTTATTTTTGCTGATAAACTACATAAACGAGTGTCTAATTGTGCTGTAGACACGTGTAGTTAATAATTTTGCACTTCAGTGCATCGTAGTTAAAATTGAAATATTCTGCCTAAAATCGTCAGTGTTGCGCCGTCGTCGGGTAAAAACTGCACTGTATTTGAATTTAAATATGCCACCGCTCTTGGCTAAGAGGTATGCTATAATGTTAACTGGTACATTATGATGTCACAATGTTTTTGGGAGCCTGTGTGTGTGTATTTGTTAGCGGCTCCACCCTCTCGGTCTGCCAGGCAACCGCATTTGTTGCATTTTTCAAACATGAAGTGGGAGTGAAGTAAGTTTGGTGTAGGGGGTGACTTGCTCTTTAATATTAGAATTGTGATCATTATTGGATTATTGTGTATTAAAAATGCAAACCAGTTATAACGAGAAAGTAAAACCCAATATTTTTGGTAATAATTAACTTCTACACTCAACAAAAATATAAACACAACACCTTTGTTTCTGCTCCAATTTTTCATGAGATGGACTTAAAATCTAAAATTCATTCCAGATACACAATATTACCATTTCTCTCAAACATTGTTCACAAATCAGTCTAAATGTGTGATAGTGAGCACCTGTGCTTTGCTGAGATAATCCATCCCACCTCACAGGTGTACCACATCAAGATGCTAATCTGACATCATGAGTAGTGCACAGGTGTACCTTATACTGCCCACAATAAAAGGCCACCCTGGAATGTGCAGTTTTTTGCTTTATTGGGGGTCTGGGGACTCAGAACCGGTCAGTATCTGGTGTGACCACCATTTGCCTCATGCAGTGCAACACGTCTTCTTCGCATAGAGTTTATCAGATTGTCAGTTTTGGCCTGTGGAATGTTGGTCCACTCCTCTTCAATGGCTGTGCGAAGTTGTTGGATATTAGTGGGAACTGGTATACGCTGTCGTATACGCCGGTCAAGCACATCCCAAACATGCTCAATGGGTGACTTGTCCGGTGAGTATGCTGGCCATGCAAGAATTGGGACATTTTCAGCTTCCAAGAATTGTGTACAGATCCTTGCAACATGGGGCCGTGCATTATCTTGCTGAAACATGAGGTGATGTTCATGGATGTACGGCACAACAATGGGCCTCAGGATCTCATCACGGTATCTCTGTGCATTCAAAATGCCATCAATAAAATGCACCTGTGTTCTTTGTTTCTTCGTCTATAACAGATGCCTGCCCATTCCATAACCCCACCACCACCATGGGCCACTCGATCCACAACATTGACATCAGCAAAGCGCTCACCCACATGACGCCACACACACTGTCTGCCATCTGCCCTGAACAATGTAAACCGAGATTCATCCGTGAAGAGAACACCTCTCCAATGTGCCAGACGCCATAGAATGTGAGCATTTGCTCACTCAAGTCTGTTACGGCGACGAGCTGGAGTCAGGTCAAGACCCCGATGAGGATGACGAGCATGCAGTTGAGCTTTCCTGAGACAGTTTCTGACAGTTTGTGCAGAAATTGTTTGTTTATGCAAACCAATTGTTTCAGCAGCTGTCTGAGTGGCTGGTCTCAGACGAACTTGGAGGTGAACCTGCTGAATGTGGAGGTCCTGGGCTGGTGTGATTACACGTCGTCTGCGGTTGTGAGGCCGGTTGGATGTACTGTCATATTCTCTGAAACACCTTTGGAGATGGCTTATGGTGGAGAAATGAACATTCAATGCACAAGCAACAGATCTGGTTGACATTCCTGCTGTCAGCATGCCAATTGCACGCTCCCTCAATGCTTGTGGCATCTGTGGCTTTTTGCTGTTAGACAAAACTGCACATTCCAGGGTGGCCTTTTATTGTGGGCAGTATAAGGTACACCTGTGCACTACTCAAGATGTCAGATCAGCATCTTGATGTGGCACACCTGTGAAGTGGGATGGATTATCTCAGCAAAGCAGAAGTGCTCACTATCACACATTTAGACTGATTTGTGAACAATGTTTGAGAGAAATGGTAATATTGTGTATCTGGAATGAATTTTAGATCTTTAAGTCCATCTCATGAAAAATCGGAGCAGAAACAAAGGTGTTGCGTTTATATTTTTGTTGAGTGTATGTTGTTGGTTCCATGCCAACTGACACACATTTTCAAAAAAACTAGAAAATTAGTCCAGTTGCCATAAATAACCTCTTAGAGTGGACTTAGTTATGGTTCACTGAAAATAAATTTTTAATGATTATTTCTGATTATAATCAGCCACTCTGAGTTTTTCGTGTCAACTAAACAGGAAAACAGTCTCCTACATCTATCTCCTGCATTATCTTCTGATGGAAAATAGATTGCTAGGATGTGAAAATCTTCACACTGTGATGTCACACTGTGAATTTGCATTCATGGCCTTGTCCATCTTTGCTCACGCCCACCCACAGGATGGCTTTTTAAAGAATAATTGCAGCAATGTGAGAGAGTGGAGAGTGTCAGTGATGTTGACTTTGCAACATAGCTGAACGTGTTCTATTAGCCAATCAGAAATGAGGTGTGTGCATATTGGGGATGTCCCGATACAACTTTTCAGTTCTGATACGATGCCGATACTGCAGCCTTCAGTATTGACAGATACCAATATCAATCTGATACGATATCAGCACAAATCATACATACTCTTACCTATTTTGTAGTGTTGAATATATGAAAGGCTTGATGAAGTGATATCACTCAATTAGAGAACAAGATCCAATTAACAGTAAGATGAAAAAAATGACAATTTTTTCTTAACCATTGGTTGCAAAAATGTGAACCTTACCGGACTGCTCATATCAGAGATTTTTGATGCCATTCGATATAATCCCATAGTGTTTTTAGGCCGATATCAAATTACTTCCGATATCGATAATGGAACGGGACATCCCTAGTGCATATTTCATTAACAGTATTGAGCTATCCTTCTGTTTTCAGCACATCTCTGCACCAGCAAATTTCTGCATCTCAAAACAGGAGCATCATAGCTTTTTATTATTTTTTATTTTTATTTTTTAATATTACTCATAAGGCATTGATTTACACTAGAGAACACTGCAAATGTATTGAATAAACGAGTAAACCACACCTTTAAATGACTATGACCAACACCCTCCGACTCTTTATTTAGTTGCCTTGCTTGGTACAGATAATCCTTTTGGTGTGTTTTTGGCTTTTCAACCCATGCAGCCTACGCCTGTGGCCTGGGTTTATCACCACAGAAGAGGCTGATTGGATGTTCAGTAAGCTGCTGGAGGAGCTGCCCTGGTCCAAGAAGACTAACTACAGACAGGGTCAGTACCAGAGCACTGAGTGTAGAGCAGATTAATTTATTGGTCTTTCTCTCTAGCCCTCTTAATTGTCAAATATAAGGTGGGTGTTTTTGTGCAAGATGTATATAAAATCTACCCGACTGTTTTGTGATAAGCTGTATGTAGGCTTTATTTATTAGAACAGTTGATATTATTAGTTCAAGGAGAGAAAGCTCGTATTTGGTTCCTAGCATGTTGAGGTGAAGTCACACTTTGTCCCAGAATCAGTCTTTTCTCACAGCTGGCCCCTGTCCATCTAGTTTGCTCATCTGCAATTGCTCAATGTCAGTTTGAAACTTCAGCTCAAGAAGAGAGGCTGTACAATCTTCTTTTCTTCCTGGGAGTTTTCCAACAAAGTCGTGTGACATTTGGTAGAACGTGTCCTGGAAGAGGAAGTGGGGAATCTTTAACTTGTGTTCATTTTGCCTTGCTGTGCTTTAAAGTAGCCTTGTGGTTTAGTTTCACTTATCATTTCCCTCATGAGTTCAGCCGTGTACGGTTCTGGAACTCAACATTTTTATGGAAGCAGCAAAGCTTTTGGGAGTTCGTAAGTGGATGCTCATGCTTATAAATACTTGCTCCATGGACCTAGAATAATTCAGTCTTCCTTTAAAGGTGATGTCTGGTCAAGTTTGTTTTGATTTCCTGTACCACGGTTCCAGCCAAAATACACCTAAACCACCGGAGGAACACTGGAGTTAGATGTAGTTGTTTCCATCTGATTTATTAGGCTCGAGCGGCGAAAGCGCTGCAAAGGCCTTTTGTTTTTCAAATGATTCTTATTATTATTCTTTAGACAAATAAACATGCTTTTTAGAGGCCTTAACACATTCAAAGACTCACCAGATTTTGTACACATGTCAGAAGTGGATGAAAGGCCTCAAACTGTGACTGCTTGCCAAAATAATGTAAAAGGCCAAAATTTCATCATCAAAAGTCATGAAATCATGAAAGTTGCTGTGGGTGTTCTTCATGTAATTTTCACAATTTCCACTGACAGAGAATAGGACTGCCTAATACTGGCGCTACCAGTCCCTGTGACCACCAACCCGCTCTACCTCCTGAGCTACTGCTGTCCCCAAAGTGCTTCCTCTCTTAACTTGTCAAAATAAAACAAACTTCATGAAAACCACAAGCTGCAGATTGTTGAGAATTTGCACACATGGAGTCCATGACATGGTCTCTGGTCTCTGCAGATGCATTCTTGTATTTTTCCGAGAATTTAAATTGATTTGCTGGAAGCTTTAAGCTAGGTCATTTAAAATAATTTCTTATCATTGCAGCATTTTGCAGAACCAAAGCAGAGCAGACTTAATGCCATTCTGTCCTTAATCATGGTTTTTCAGATAAGTCAAACAGCAGAGACCCACATCTCCAACATATACTTGTGCGACAAATAAAGTGTTATCTTATCTCCACATTAGGCTACAACAGCATTTACAATTGCCCCATATGGATCATTACAATATTTTCCAAAATATGTTAGATGTTTAGGTTGTTTCATAATAATTCCTAATAATTATATGATGAACTAATAATTTTCTGATTCTGTTGGTTAATTTTTCTGACGCCATTATGTCTTTTTTACACACGTATTTGAACAAAGCTGTCCTATGATTTTTGACCTACGGACTTCAAAATATTTCGTTAGACTCTTAAGGTATTAGGTTTGAAAAGTTATCAAAATGTTTTATCGTGTGCGATTGGTGTGGGCGTGGCAAAGCCTTTAAAACTCCTTCATTTATTAACTTCCATACTCATGATTAGCGCTATACCAAACTTTGTATGTGTTATCAAAAACCAAATCTCATGACAATGAATGTGTCATTTGCTGACATCACCTTAGCCCCACCCCCTGAAAACAGGGAGTCATTGTTTTTACATTGACATGCCCGTATTTGACCCCATTCATCTAATCAACATGAGACTATTCCCAAATACAGAAGACATGTTGGTGTAATGAGAGCTCTAGTACTGAGATCTTTTGAGAAAGAGAGAGGCATTAATGGAATGGCAAATTCTGGCATGACACCATGGGCTTACGTGTGGCTGTGATTTTGACAAACATCATCTGATCTGTACCAAATTGAACTAATTGGATATTAATGCAGCTCCTCAAAGAAATGCACACAAATAGCTGGTGAACCAGGTCTAATTTCACCATAGCACCCCCTACATACAGCACATTTAACACTAACTTCTACAAACAAGCTCACAATCATACCAAACTTCCTTTGTCATCACATAAAAGCATCTAACATTTTCATGTCATCATTTTTAGAAATCAATTTAGCTCCACCCCCTTAGAGACTGTTTCCTCAAAATATTACACTTAAGATCTGATTCTCACCAGCCTACACATAAATGATCTCTGTCAACCTAAAAACTGCTCAGTGATTAAGAAACAGCGCCCTGTGGTCCTAACTCTACCAAACTTGCTTTAAATTTTTCTGGCTCTGTATAACATATGATTCACACCAAACTGCACTTAAATGATCTTTGGTAACCTAAAAACAGCTAAAATGGATTTATTTCGATTTTGATAAGGCACTCCCTAGACTTTTTCCAACAAGATATCTCCATGACGCAACATCAGGCCCTACCAAGTTTTGTGTGCTTTCTTGTGGATCACAAATAACATGTGGATTTAGTAACTTTACATCATCGCTCAACCACCCCCCACCCCAATAAAAAGCAAAAACAGGAAGCAACTGCAGTGTCTGTTTAAAAGGTTGGATTTTCACACAATTTTTATGACATGTAGTGGGAGCTGAGCAGAGCATTATTGACTTTTATAATAATAATAATAATAATAATGCATTGAACTTATATAGCGCTTTTCTAGACACCCAAAGACGCTTTCCACACACTCTTACATTCACACACTGCTAGTGATGGTGAGCTACTTGTAGCCACAGCCGCCCTGGGGAGGTCTGACAGAGGCGAGGCTGCCATTTGGCGCCGTCGGCCCCTCTGACCACCACTAACACAGATAGGCTTCATCGCTGTACCATCTAGTGGTGACTGTACCATCTAGTGGTGACATTTGCAAAGATTACAGGACATGTGCCAGTGGTCGTGACACTAGGCCAGAGTGTAGCTGAGCTGCGAGGGCCAATGGTTGCTGCTTGCAGCTTTAATAATGTAGTTATTATTTCTTTAGGTGAAGCATATGATGAGCCCAGGCTGACCTGCTGGTATGGAGAGCTGCCATATACTTATGCTCACTCTACGATACCAGCCAACAATCAGGTAACTACATCATGACTCAAACAGGGCTTCCACGTTTATATTCTACACAGAAGGTGTGTCTTATTCCTTTTTCATTCATTTAATGTAATATATAGTCTTCTACGCTTCTATTGTTTCACAATTACAGGTACATTAAGTAAGAATTTTACAGTAAAATAATCATCAACCCTCCCACTGTCCTAATGGGTGTGACCCATCGACATATAAATATTGGACAATGGGTTTCCATAGACTCCAATAACACATTTTTGAAAATAAATGGGAGGTGTCCACCACCGCCATTTTGACCGTGTCACAGGTTCCGTCAAGCCCAGACAATTCCACAAAAGGGAAGAGAGGTGGAGCTGAGGGTGTGGTTGTAAGGCTGGGATCAACTGACGACACCCGGTCGAACTAGCTACAAGCTAACCCAAAGCTAACGCGGAGGTGGGCGCTAAGCTAACGGAGGTAGCAACCTAGCTACAACCGGAGTTAACTGTGCACAACACCAGAGCTTCTGAGTCAATTTTAGGCTTTTAATACACTTAGAAGAGTGAGAAAAAAATTCACCCCCCTCAGAGTTGTCATGAGTGTAAACTAGATTATTTAAACCAAAAACATGTTTTGGTACCAGGCTGTAAACATGTTTATTTCTGCTGTGAAATTGGTATTTTTAACATGGGTGTCAATGAGGATTTGCTCGCTTCTGACACCAGCCCCCAGCGGATGAGGGTGGAACTGCAATTTATTTCATTTATGGGTTTCCTCAATTTTTCACCCGCATTGTGGGGGCTTGGTGTGACCCCGTGAGGAAAGTTGACCATTGAGCAGGATGGATGGTTTATCCCTTGGGTCCATGTGGCAGGGGTGAGCAGTGAGCTCCACCTCACCCCTGCCACATGGTCCTCAAAGGATAAACCATCACTCCTGCTCAATGGTCAACTTTCCTCGCGGGGTCACCCATAAAGACAGTGGGAGGGTTAAACAACATAAAGTCCAACATTATTGGGCATTGGACGTTTGTAATTATATACCGGCTGGCAAAAAGCAGCAGTGCTGAGGACAAAATGTTAGTAAAAGGAGCGACCCACAAGTTATTTCTTATACCTATGCATCGCATCCTTTTTGCTTTATTCTAATAATGTGTAAATAAAGGTAACGTTTAACTAACAGTGAATTAGAAAAAATCATTTGTTCTAAAAATATCTCAAGCTACTTTTTTTTTCTTTTTACCTGTCCTGTCCTGGCAGTTGAAGCAGACAGATTGGTTGATCTGGGTGCGATTACACGCCAGAGCAGTCTTACTCTACATCAAAAAGGATGCGGGAAATTCCTCCTGTTGCGCAGTAGCCTTTATGTTTGTGTCATGTTAGACCGCTTTAGCTTATGCACCGAGTTGGACAGGTAGGGAGAAAAGAGACTTACACATGCATACGTGTGCGCATGCAAGCGTACGTCTGTCTTATAGAATATGTTCACGAGGGTGGATTTCAGTGAAATTCATTTATCTACTTATCATCTTACTGAGTATGACTCGTCTTCACTCGTCATCTAGAAACTTCTGATGCTAATCCATAACTGGGAACCGTTGCTCAGACCAAACTCATTTGTTTTGATACATGGACTGCAGTACCCACATTTGACCACAAGATGTCATTTTTACTTCATGCACCTTCAAACTAAATCTTACCTCTGGAGCTGTTCAATTTCACATCATGGTAACTAACAATCCTTTATTTTCTTGTTTTAATTTCTGTTTTTCAGTGGCACCCACTGCTGGTGACACTTCGTGAGGCCGTGGAACAATCGAGCAGTTGTACCTTTAACTCCTTGTTGTGTAACTTGTATCGCAATGGACGCGACAGCATTGGCTGGCACAGTGATGATGAAGCCTCGTTGGGTCCTAAACCCACCATCGCTTCTCTGAGTCTGGGTGACACTAGAGTGTTCAGCCTCCGCAAGCAGCCTCCACCGGTGAGACCTTTTCACCTGGCTTCAAATAAAGTGTGTCTCTATGTAAATTATGTGTATAAATACTATATATACACTGTAGAGAACAAAGAACACCTTTCACATATGAGCACCTGCTGACAGATTAATCACTGTTGATTATAAAAGAAATCTAACATTATTGCCACTTATTTATAAACCAAGCCATTATATTTTACCTAGTAATTATAGCAGCCCCACCACCATGCTGAAGCATTGATGCAAGGCACGATGGATCGTTGCTTTCATAAAGGTGACATAAAATTCTGACCTGACCATCTAAATGTTGCAGCTGAAATCCAGACTCATCAGACCAGGAAAGGTTTTTCCAGTTTCCTCCGGTCCAGTTCTGGTGGTACCTAGTGTGTACGGCAGCCCCGCCTTTGTCAGTGCACCTCAGGGCAGCTGTGGCTACAATGCAGCTCATCACCACCAGTGTGTAAATGTGTGTGTATGACCGTTGTGTTGTAAAACACCTTGGGTGATTCTAGGACTCTAGGTGATGCTATACTAAGGCTGGGCGATATGGCCTAAAATCAATATCACGACATATTGAGGATTTCACCTCGATAACAATAAATGTACGATAACTACAGGTATGCACACAAACAAAAGTTGTCCACTAGATGGGACTGTCACATGTATTACGTTGGGTCACATTTTTATGTGACTCAAGGTGGTACAGCTTCTTAAAAGGACATGAACATTGCCAAGCTACACACATTTTTTCATTTTTTTATTATCAAATTTATTGTCATGGGAAAATTATCTCGATAGGAGTCAGAAATTTCGATAACGACAATTTTTTTTTTAATTGCCCAGCCGTGCACCGTACATTTATAAATACAGGCTATTTACCATTTAGGAATCAAGCTAACAGCTAGTCAGACTGGAGCTTTTTATTTAAAACAAATCTAACCATATAAAGGTTCATAATGGCCGAAGCAAAAACAATGAAGCTGGTTTGTGGATGACATTATTTTTGCTTTGGATCATGCTGACCCAGTCTGAATAGATATTAGTTTAAAAACACGAAAGAAGAGATTATTCTGACTGTCGTTTACTGCAGGTAAGATACTAACTGCTGATAACAAAAATCAGAACTACTAAAACATATATTTGAAATGATAAACATCACTAAAAAATGGTCTAATTTACTTCCTTTGCTTCTTTTGACTGACCAAGGATCCATTAAATCTGTTCTCATTCCTGACTGTGTTCTTCACACTGGAAGGCTATGAAGGCAACTGAAATGTTGGCTGCTTTGTTTTGTGTGAAATTGCCAAAGCCCTAAAAGTCTTCCAGTTTCCAGCTCCTATTCTAAAACAAATCTCATTTATTGTTACCAGAATGGGCCTTGTTCAGCTAAATACTCACAGAGAATCTTTCTTCTACTCATGAAACATCGAAACCATGTTCAGACGAACTGTCTGTAGTTGTAGTTGGCTTTACTTACTGCAGGGTTGTTGATGGATAGATAGACAGACAGACAGATTGATAGATATCTTTATTCGGTCAACAACAACAATTTATCAGTTTTACATAAAAGTAATCAAGCAACCGAAAAAAGGAATAGGTTGAAGCCTAGTGGCTTATAATTAGCCTATCCGTAACTCCCACAGAGATAATCAAATCCATAACTAAGAGAAAAAAAATAGGGCTGATAGATAAGATGCATAACATTTAAAGAAAAAGCAATGATAAATCAAGAAATCAAATCAACACAAGCTTAGACATCAAACTAAGTTTCTATAACTTTGGAAGATACAAATTTTTTAAATTTTCTTGAAAAATGACAACGAATAACCCATCTTCAGTTCATCATTAAGTCCATTCCATAACTTCACTCCCAAAACCGACATACATCTATACTTAGCATTAGTTCTCACTTTAGGTATTTCAAACATATAAGACCCCCTCAAATCATATTTTCCATCTCTTAATTTAAACATACTTAAAATACAAATTGGAACATTCTTTTTCACCACTCATTTCTAAAGTTTTAAGATATATAATGTCCTTAAATTTTAACATAGCTGATCCTACAAAAAATTGGTTTGTGGACACCCTATATCCAGTTTTATTTATTATTCTAATAGGTCGTTTTTACAATTTAAAAATTTAATCCAGATAGGTTTTGTATGTTTTCCCCCAAATTTCCACACAATAACTCATATAAGGCAAGGAAAGGGAAGTGTACAGTAAATAAAGGCAGCTCTTGTGCAATAAATCTCTTGTTTTATAAAGAATAGAAATAGACTTAGACAATTTCCGTTTCACGTGATCTATGTGAGACTTCCAACAAAGTTTATCATCAATTATTACTCCTAAAAATTTAGTCTCATTTACTCTTTCAATTTCAACATTATTTAGATTCAATTTTACTTCGATATTACTCATAATACCTCCAAACAACATACATTTTGTTTTACTTTCATTCAGTGATAGTTTATTAAATACAAACCATCTTTTTAACTTCATCAATTCTGTTTTCACTGTTTTCAGTAATTCCTTTATGTTATCTCCAGAACAAAATAAGTTTGTATCATCAGCAAACGTCACATATTTTAAAATATCACTAGCTGTACAAATATCATTTATATAAAGTAAAATAGCTTAGGTCCCAACACCGATCCTTGCGGAATTCCACAAGTTACTTTTCTAAGTTTAAATTTCATATTATTAATACTCACATATTGGAACCTTCTTTCCAAGTAACTATTTAACCAAAGTTGTACAACACCTCTTAAACCAAATCTTTCACATTTCTGTAACAGTAAAGAATGATGTATCGTATCGAAGGCTTAGCGTAAATCAATGAACACACCTATTCCAATCTGATTTTTATCCACAGTTGTTGCAATATTTTCAATAAATTCCATCGCTGCTAGAGATGGTGAGCGATTTCTTCTGAACCCATCCTTTTTACATGAAGGAATTCTGCTTTGTGGTGTTTTTGTTGCCAGGAGGACAATGGTGACTACACGTATGTAGAGCGGATTTCGGTTCCTTTAAGCCACGGGACTCTCCTGTTGATGGAAGGAGCTACACAGGATGACTGGCAGGTAAACTTCCCCAAACCAATGCTGTACTCGTGGGCATAATAATATAAGACTCTGCAGAGCAAGATTAGCTTTATTGGTGACTTGTCTCCTTGTTAGAATTAAAACAGGTGTTTGATATCTAACCAGGTTAAGTGAAGAAGCGGAAGAAGAAGAAAAGTTCTTTTCTATAGCGCCTCTCAAGATAAAAATCACGAGGCGCTTCACAAAAACAAAAAATGTAAAAAAAAAAAATACTATATATATATATATATATATATATATATATATATATTTAAAATGAGCACAAAATAGACAATTGTGATTAATAAACGTAAAGAAAGAGAGAGTGAATAGGAAAGAGGGAAATCAGTGGATCCTGAGTATGGTGGAATAGGTAGGAAGAGCAGAACAAGGAGAGGGTGATGAAGATCACTCCAAAGCCAGCCTGAACAGGTGAGTTTTCAGCTGCTTTTTAAAGGAGACCACTGAGTCCACTGATCTCAGGCTCAGGGGGAGAGAGTTCCAGAGTCTGGGGGCCACAGCAGCAAATGATCTGTCACCTTTGGTCTTTAGCCTGGTGCGCTGAACATTTAGTAGACTTTGGCCACTGGACCTCAGGGACCTACTGGGGGTGTAGGGACTAAGAAGCTCACCAATGTATGATGGTGCTTGTCCATGTAAGGGCCTGAAGACCAGAACCAGGATCTTGAAATGAACCCTGAAGTTGACTGGCAGCCAGTGAAGCTGGAGGAGAAGCGGGGTGATGTGGGTGTGTTTGGAGGACTTGGTCAGAAGCTGAGCGCAAGCATTCTGAACCACCTGTAGACGGTTCAGAGAGGTTCTGCTCAGACACGTGAAAAGAGAGTTACAGTAGTCTAAGCGTGAGGAGATGAAGGTGTGGAGAACTGTCTCAAGTTCAGAGCAGGACAGAATGGGACTCAGCTTAGCAATGTTCCCAAGATGGAAGAAGGAAGAGGGAACAAGAGAACTGACATGAGAATCCAGGGTGAGAGCTGGGTCAAAGGTCACGCCAAGATTTCTGACGGAAGGTTTGGTGTGAGAAGCAAGCTGACCAAGAGAGTCTTTGACTTTGAGAACCAGCTTGTCTGGGGCACAGATGAGGATCTCAGTCTTATCTTCATTCAGCTGCAGAAAGCTCCCAGCCATCCAGGTTTTGATAGAGTCTAAGCAGGAGTGTAACAGCTGCAGCTTAGACATCTCATGGGGCTTAAAGGAGATGTACAGTTGGATGTCATCTGCATAAAGATGGTAGGAGATTCCTTTGAAGGAGCTCAGGATGTGCTGAAGAGGAAGCAGATAGAGGAGGAAGAGCAGAGGCCCCAGCACAGAACCTTGTGGGACACCATGGGTAAGAGAGGGTGAGGGTAAACTTGGAGACGGCCACAGAAAAGGAGCGCTCAGAAAAATAAGAGGAGAACCACTCCAGAGTAGTTCCTGATAGGCCTACCCAGTCGCTCAGCCTCTCCAGTAGCAGGTGATGGTCAACAGTGTCAAAGGCTGCAGTCAGGTCCAGCAGGACCAGAACAGAACAGTCCCCTGCATCACTGTGAGTCAGAAGGTCATTAGAGACCCTAAGAAGAGCTGTTTCAGTACAATGAGCTCTACGAAAACCTGACTGGAAGCTATCATAGATGTTATGTTCATCAAGAGCAGCTGTGAGTTGTTTAGCCACAACCTTTTCCAAGATCTTGGAGATGAACAGAAGTTTAGAAATGGGTCTGAAGCTGCTATGGAGAGAGGGTTCGAGACTCAGTTTTTTAATAAGCGGGTGGATTACAGCGTTGGCAGGAACCTGACCAGAGACCAGAGAAGAATTCATTATAGAGAGGACACTGGGACCGATGGACTGAAAAGCACTTTTAAACAAAGATGATGGTAAGATGTCGAGGGGGCATCTTATTCTTATTCTATCTTATTATTATTATTAAGTGACATAATTGGAAACAAAGAACAACAATTATGTGTTATAAATTTTTTGTCTCAAGTGTAATAATTATTTCTCAATTTGCCATTTGTGGTTTCCTCTCAATCAGTAAGCTTACAGGATGGAGGAAATAGAGCTTCGCCTCATAATCAGAGGCGGTAACCAGGTTTTTATGAGTATAGAAATTATTTTTAAAAGTAAAAAAATTTGGATTTTCCTAGGCATTTATGCTTACTGTATAACTGACTTTAAAGCAAAAACACAAACATTTTCAGGCACTCATAGTAAGGCAGTTATGAAAATATTACAAGTGGCTTATCAGGACTCATTTAGAATCCTCCTGAGGCTCCCGCGGTGGACTTCGGCAAGCCAAATGTTTGTCACGACTAACTTACCCACCTTTCACGCACTACTGAGGAACTACATGTATAAATTCACATGCCATTTGAATGGGTCCTCAAACATTGTAGTTGGAGCCTTGATTCGAGGTATTCCTCCGACCTTTATAAACATTTAGAACAATCGCCTATATGGTCTGTGATGGGAAAGTGTTCTTTTATTTGTTTTATTTGTTGTACTAATTTGATGCTTTTTCCTCAGTGTTTTTATACATTTTACTTCTATTTTTTATTTTATCTTTGGCATTTTATGGTATGGACATTATTTTGTCTGGAATAAAGTTTGATTGATTGGTTGTTTGGTGAAATTTGACAAATGTAGTAACTATTTTTGGAGGATTCAAAACTTGGAAATGAAAGTCATGTTTATCTTTTTACAAAATCTTTGAACATTTTGTATAGGATGTTCCGAATGTTCCTGCCTCCTTAAACCCAACATGCTCAACTATAAAAAGTAAATGAAACGGCAGAGAAACAGATTGAAGGCCAGGGGAACACAGCAGTTGAAAAACCATGAGTCAGTGAAAAGATTTATACTTCAGACGATATAAACAGGATAAGGTCACAGGTGTTTTATGATGACACCTCGCTGAGTGTCCCAACAAAGACCTGGTCCTTAATCCTCTCAAAGTTATTGCAGTCATTGTGAACCTAACCTCCTCCTCTGACTCAAGAAGAAAAGTTCTGAAGTGGAAACAAAATTTTTATCTCAAATGAAAACTTATCAGTTTCTTTTTCTTCACCAGCATCAAGTGGCAAAAGAGTACCATGACAGAGGCCCACGCATCAATTTAACCTTCAGAACCATCCACCCGGAGCCAGAAGGCCACAGGCCAGGCACTAAGATATGATTCACAGCCAAGCAACTGTAGATTCTCCTCAAGTCAGGTACCACAAACAAATGAAAATCAGTCCTACATTGGTGCAAATATTAAAAAGGTGTCAAAAAGACGAGTTATTCGGTAAAAAAATATTTTTTTTACTGAGCTAAAAACACATATGTGCTCTTATTTAAGGCTAGAAAGAGCAAGCGTGCTCTTATTCAAATGGTACTTTGATCAAAAAGTTTGTTATTTGATTTTTGTCTATCTTGTTTAGTGTCAAGGCTTGAATTATTTCTATATGAATTAGAGTTGTATGTTTATAAAGACAGAGTTGTTTCTGTACAGGGTATCCGCTGTTACCTGAGCCACAACATCATTTAAAAAGGCCAATAACAGTTGAAATAGCATTTGTTAATTTGAAAATAGAAAATGTTTGAAGTGTTTTTAAAATTCACCCTGGTTTTATAGCGTTGGGCTTTAGCAGAAAGATAAACTTTACTTGTGAAACACTTCAACTCGCTGGATTTATTTTCCTTTTTTTCTGTAACATGTTTACATTAAAATAAACTTTGATCTGTTCAATTCATGTGTTTTTTTTATTTTGCTATCGATAGTTACAGATAAACACAAAGACTAAAAGCGTATGTGACACATTTTTCTCTAGTTTCTTTAATCAGTGGAGGAACAGAACCTGAAGTGCGAGTTCAGACCTTTTGAAGGGGAGTTTTGTTGCACGGTTGTAATGTTAATATCTTACCTGTCAAAGATAGCCCTTTGAACAACCTCAGTTTTTAGAAACAGTGATTAGTTATTTTATTTTTTTCTTCCTGTGTCCGTGGGGGGTTTCCACAAAAATAAACAATCAATGATGAACTAGGATCTGCTTCTAGACCTGCAGAAAGAGAAAACTAAATAAACCAAACAAAGGGGGTCACACAACAATACAACAAGAGCAAGCTTTCTCTGCATCAATGAGAAAATATAAAATCTACATGGTTTTGCTGAACGATAGTAAATCACAGTGCATTTAGTGTCAACCACAGCCTTAAGACATGTGTTGAAAATGCCCAAGTCCATACTTATGAGAGCACCATGTGAGCACCTGTGTGTGTACACGTGCTTGTATATGTAAGGTTTCTCTATAGGAGCGTCCAATAGTGAGTGTGAGGGACCACAGATCTGCCCCCCAAAGATGTGTAGGAGACGGGGGGAGCTCCAAGTCCCAGAGATCCAGGACCTGCCCCAGAGCGCAGGGACACTGTAACCAGAAAAGTCCCAGCCCCTCCTCGAGAGGCGCAGAAGATCGCCCTGGGGGGCCACAACCAGCAGCCGGCAAAGTCCCGGGAGTTATCGGCGGCAAGCCCACAGGCCCGCCCGCAGCCTCCCACCCCCTAGCCAGCCGTGATTAGTGATTAGTTCTGATCAAACTAATTATGATAGAGCCACTTAAAAATGTCTTAAATCTATTTCACTTTGTAAAATGTTATCAAAATATTGCAGTGTTTACAGTTATACATATACTAGTGACAGAATCCTTAAAAGAAGCTAGAGCGACTGCCAAATCCTCAGTACTTATCCTGCTTGATATACCGGCTGCATTTGACACTGTCAACCATGGCTTCCTTTTGTCCATACTCTCTAGCATGGGCATCACAGGGAAAGCACACTCCTGGTTTGAATCATACCTGACAGGACAAGCTCTGTCTGTCATTCCTGCCAGATGACCTGCACGAATCTCGGACTGTCTTTCTGACAAATCAAGATGGATGAAATCCCACCATCTCCAATTCAACCTCCCTAAAACATAACTTGTCGTCCCAGTAAAACCATCCATATGGCACAGTATCTCAATCCAAAATGATTCCCTATCTCTGGCTCCTTCAAATGCAGTTCAAAACTTGGGTGTTGGGATTGATGGTCAGCTGACCTTTAAAGATCACGTTGCCTCTGTCACTCATTCATGCCGCTTCGCGTTGTGTAACATGTGAAAGATCAGACCGTACCTAAACCAATATGCCACCCAGCTCCTGGTGCAATCTACTGTCATCTCCCACCCTGAGACCTCTTCAAATGGTCCAGAATGTAGCAGACAAAAAAGCTTTGGTGCACCTGTTTAAGCACAGAGAATTCAGCCAGAGGAGAAAGTAGCTTCAGACAGCAGGATGTGGTGTCTTATTTTCTGATTTTTGGACATCTCACCTTGGATTGCATAAAAGCAAAGCAACTGTACCACTGACTCAGTTTGCTCTGCAACGTTAATGTTTTATCTCCACAAATAACACAAACCTCGAGGAGTTCTGCTGTGTTGCAGAGTTGCTAATGGTTATGTACTATTGGCTCTGCTGGACGATAAAAAACAACAGCCTTCCTCATTGCCGGCCTCGCAGAGAGTGATAGAGACATGCCCAACTTTTTAACTATCTGCCAAAAGTGACAGAGACCTCAAGCTTTGATTAGTCAGGATGCTGCTTCCTTTATACAAACCGGATTCCAAAAAAGTTGGGACACTGTACAAATCGTGAATAAAAACTGAATGCAATGATGTGGAGGTGCCAACTTCTAATATTTTATTCAGACTAGAACATAAATCACGGAACAAAAGTTTAAACTGAGAAAATGTATAATTTTAAGGGAAAAATAAGTTGATTAAAAATTTCATGGTGTCAACAAATCCCCAAATTTGGGACAAGGCCATTTTCACCACTATGTGGCATCTTCCCTTCTTCGTACAACACAACGTTTGTCTGGGGACCGAGGAGACCAGTTTCTCAAGTTTAGAAATGGGAATGCTCTCCCATTCTTGTCTAATACAGGCCTCTAACTGTTGAATCGTCTTGGGCCTTCTTTGTCGTACCTTCCTCTTTATGATGCGCCAAATGTTCTCTATAGGTGAAAGATCTGGACTGTAGACTGGCCATTTCAGCCATTTTGGACTTGGACACCTTGCACAAGGAGGGCAAGACACAAAAGGTCATTGCTAAATAAGCTGTCTGTTCACAGAGCTCTGTGTCCAAGCACATTAAAGGTGTGTGGCGTAGGTGAACGTGCCGGATTAAAACACGCCAGTAGATGGCGGTACCGGATTGAGGAAGGAATCTGGTCAGAGGAGAAGTGCCACGAAGCTCTTCCTGTCCCCTGAAGCCTTCAAAATAAAAGGACTAGCTTGTCAGCTGTTCTTTTAGAATTATCGGCATGAAATCAACGATAATTAAAACCAGAAAGTAAATCCTGAAGGGATTTGAGTGGAGATGCTGGTTCGCTGCGGCAGATTGTTGATAGAACCTGAAGAAGCTTCAGTGTTTTATCTCTGCGCATAAACAGCTAAATGCTAAATATAGCTACTTAAGCGTCAGGCCGTGATCAGTTGATCAGGCGTGTAGGTAATAATTCACAAGGGAATTAACCTCTTCGACTACAGCATACCTTCGAAAGGTTCTCGGTTATGTCGGTAAAGCGTTTAATTTCGCGGAATTCTCGTCGCTACGCCCCTTCCATGTTATGGCCTAAGACTGGCGTTGCAGCCAGGGGAAGCCTACGGGTATTAAATGCGCGCTCTGAGTCAGTCAGACGACTCAGCTTCAGGTCTCTGCCTGGCAAAATCCGGTATTAGCGTTGGAAAACGTCCGGTGTCACGGCAGATACCCAGCGGACTAACCTCGGTTGATCAGACCTCAGTTAAAACTGATTAGCTCTGGTGCTAAATCAGAGATGGCTTTAGTGCTAAGTGGATCAGTGTTTCCTGTCCATGTAACACAAGCCTACAACAGGTGACAAAACACATTCAGACGAACACACAAATGTTGCTAAATAACACTCTTACTTCTAAGAGTTTAGAGGAGTTGAAAGCAAATGCTTGATCATACAGACTTGGTAACCAAATTGGTTCTCACTTTGTCTCCGCCGGTACAGGAAGTTACGGAGAGGCACCCTTCAAAATAAATCCTTCCCTTGCCGTGGGCTTGGGAGAGGAAAAGAGAGGAGCTGCACAGCTCAGCTTTTAATGGATGAGAGAATTACCACTAAGTGTAAATTGATATGAATAAGACTGGCTGGTTACGTCATTAAATGTAGCATAGGCAAATCGATGATTTTTATTTGTTATGACCAGGAAGATGTAATATTTTATATAAATATAAAATATTAACCTGCCAGGTCTTTATTTTATATTATCAGAAGATTCTAGGATTTAATTCAGAAGATCTAGGTTCTTTGCTTTTTCAGTGATCATCCACACTTCATGTTATTTCAAGAAAGAGTCAGGTTTATAAAAGTGAGGATTTATTTTACAAACAATTAAAACATGACTAATTAACTAAGCATTTACTGTGAGTGGATGTAACTAAACATGATGAAGGAACCTATGTGTGAATGCGATGTCAGTCAGAGCTTCCTTATCAAAATAAGCTGAGTTCTGGTGAAAAGAATTTGGTTTGCTCTAAGCTATAAAGTTGTTATCAGAAGAACATCAGACACAATGTCTACTTCACTGTCATGTCTTCTTCACCCATTTTGGAGAGACCCTCTTGGTGGATCCAAAAGTCGCAGGGGTCGGCTGACCTCTGGCACCGGAGGGCTGTAGAATACCATGGTACCGACTCTTCAGTCCAGAGATGTCTCCGGTTACAACAGCTGGATGGAACCGTGCATCTGGCGGACTCTTAAGGAGTCTAACAATATCAGCTTTGTTTCTGCAGGAACTGTTTGCTCATCAGCTTTGCAGGTGCAAAAAGGTTTTGACGACGTGTCAAAATCTTTGATGGTTAAAGAGGTTTTGCTACAGATGGCCGGTCTGAGCTATTCTCTAGAGCGGTCAAATCACTCAGGATGATCCAGTTTTAAGGTTTTGATGTTATGACTTGCACAGCCAATCAGAGGCTGACAAGTTTGAGAGAAGTTACCAAGACAACTCAGAAAAACGCCTTCTTGATACAGGATGTTCTGACTGGTTTAATACTATGTGTGTCAGGGTTTAACTTAGCCGTACTTGTTATTGTGTGAGTGCAGGTGTGAGGTCCTCGTTGTCAAAACCCGTTGAACCCATGGCAGGTTCTAGTAGACAAACATAACATAACATCCATTCAGTGAGCACAGATTAATGAAGCATTTCATTATACTATAATTATTATAAGTAGTAATAAACAAATGTTTGTTTAATGATTATCTAGATTATAAGTCATGGAAGAAGTTCATATTGATTTAGGAAATTATTCTTGATTTTAGCAACTGATTGGACCTGGAGTTCTTCCTTCTGTGGAGGCAGACAGATGGGACCTTGGGAAAGAAAGTTATTGTTTATCTTTCAGACTTGCAGAGTCTGTGAGTCCCAGCTGGTATGAAGGCAGGCTCATTTAAAGGGAACACATGCAGTGTTGTGTCTACTTTCTGACCAGATGTTGAATAGATGTTGAAAGGTCAGACTGTACCTAAACTGACCATTGCTGGATGGTACAGGTGTTTTTCCAGGAGCACTACTCAGAGTAACCCGGACCGATGCAGCTCGGTCCAACCACTGTTCCCAAGGGCATGGTTCTGCATTTTCCCTCTACTTTCTCCCCTATTTTTAGTCCCTGCTCTGTTGAGGT